ATTTATAATTGTTATATCTTCTTCTTGGATTGATCCCTTGGTCATTATGTAGTGTCCTTCATTATCTCTTGTAACAGTCTTTATTTTAAAGTCTATTTTATCTGATATGAGTGTTGCTACTCTAGCTTTCTTTTGATTTCCATTTGCATGGGATATCCTTTTCCATCCCCTCACTTTCAGTCTGTATGTGTCCCTAGATCTGAAGTGGGTCTCTTGTAGACAGCACATATATGGATCTTGTTTTAGTATCCATTCAGTCAGTCTGAGTCTTTTGGTTAGGGCATTTAATCCATTTACATTCAAGGTAATTATCAATATGTATGTTCCTACTGCAGTTTCCTTAATTGTCTTGGGTTTGTTTTTGTGGGTCTTTTTCTTCTCTCGTGCTTCCCACTTAGAGAAGTTCCTTTAGCATTTGTTGTAAAGCTGGTTTGGTGGTGTTGAATTCTCTTAGCTTTTGCTTGTCTGAAAAGCTTTTGACTTCTCCATCGAATCTGAATGAGATCCTTGCTGGGTAGAGTGATCTTTGTTGTAGGTTTTTCTCTTTCATCACTTTAAATATGTCCTGCCACTCCCTTCTGGCCTGCAGACTTTCTGATGAAAAATCAGCTGATAACCTTATGGGGATTCCCCTGTATGTTATTTTTTGTTTTCCCTTGCTGCTTTAAAATTTTTTCTTTTTATTTAATTTTTGTTAGTTTGATTAATATGTGTCTTGGTGTGTTTCTCCTAGGGTTTATCCTGTATGGGACTCTCTGTGTTTTCTGAACTTGGGTGGCTATTTCCTTTTCCATGTTAGGGAAGTTTTTGACTATAATCTCTTCAAATATTTTCTCAGACCCTTTCTTTTTGTTTTCTTCTGAGACTTTTTTTTTTTTTTCGGTACGCGGGCCTCTCACTGCTGCGGCCTCCCCTGCCGCGGAGCACAGGCCCCGGATGCGCAGGCCCAGTGGCCATGGCCCATGGGCCCAGCCGCTCCGCGGCACGTGGGATCCCCCCGGACTGGGGCACGAACCCACGTCCCCCGCATCGGAAGGCGGACCCCCAACCACTATGCCACCAGGAATGCCCCTTCTGAGACTTTTATAATTCGAATATTGGTGTATTTCATGTTGTCCCAGACGTCTCTGAGACTGTTTTCAATTCTCTTCATTCTTTTTCCTTTATTATGTTCCTTGGCAGTTATTTCCACCATTCTATCTTCAAGCTCACTTATTTGTTCTTCTGCCTCAGTTTTTGTGTTATTGATTCCTTCTATTGTATTTTTTATTTCAGTTACTGTGTTGTTCATCTTTGTTTATTCTTTAGTTCTTCTGGGTCTTTGTTAAACATTTCTTGTATTTTCTCGATCCATGCCTGAATTCTATTTCCAAGATTCTGAATCATCTTTACTATCATTACTCTGAATTCTTTTTCAGGTAGGTTGCCTATTTCCTCTTCATTTAGTTGGTCTTGTTGGTTTTTATCTTGCTCCTTCATCTGTAAGATATGTTTTTATTGTTTTATTTTTTTTTTTTTTTTTTTGGAGGGGTGGGACTGTGTTCCTGTCTTATTGGTGGTTTGGCCTGAGGCTTCCAGTCCTGGAGTTTGTAGGCTGTTGGGTAGAGCTGGGTCTTGGTGCTGAGATGAGGACCTCTGGGAGACCTCACTCTGATTAATATTCCCTGGGGTCTGAGGCTGTCTGTTCATCCAGCGATTTGGACTCAGTGCTCCCACCATAGGAGCTGACCCCTGACCCCTGGCCTGGGAACCAAGATCCTGCAAGCTGCACAGGGTGGCAAAAAAATAAAAAAGGGCAGAAAGTAACAAAGAGTAAACAATAATAAAAGATTAGAAAACTAACAGATATGTTAGAAAAAATAAAATATAAATGAAACAACAACCAGTAGGTAAAACAGAATCACAGTAGCAAAAATATAGGGAAAAAAAGGCCGGAAAAGGCCTTGGCTATGTGGGGTGGGGCTTAGGCATGGGCATCGTTTAGGTGGGGGCGGGGCCTTATGCTTAAGCCCTTGGGGTGGGGGGTGGGAATTAGGCTCAGTGCCGTTGGAGGGGCCCTGATGTGCCTCTGGCCTCAGAGTAGGGATGATCAGGCCTGAGACCTTAGCAGGCTCCCCATTCACCTTTACTCTTTTTCCCCTACCCCCTCTCTCCCACACCCTTAGGACCCACATGGCAGGAGGGGTCCCCAGATGGTGGAGGACTCAGGGCCCGAGTGGGCAGGAGAAATGCTATCCACGTTCCCCTGAGTCCTCTGAAACTCCAAGGGTCCCTTCAGGCACAGGAACCCCTCCCCTCCCCCAGCCACCCCTCAGGGGCACTGGTTCCCTCCAACCTCCACTTCTCTTTCCCCCTCGCTCTCCCCCATGTCCTCCCCAGTCACTTGGGGGTTCCTTCTATCCCCTTGGGTGTCAAGGTCCCCCACCAGCCTCTGGTATGTGCCCTAGTTGTGGGGAGACACGAACTCCACATCCTCCAAGTCCGCCATCTTGACTCCGCTCCCTCCTGTATTTTTAAATTTTAATAAATGTCATTGTGTGATGAATCACATTCTGTTTCTTTTCTTACCTAACACAATGCTTTTGAGCTCCACCTCGGTGTTGGTGTTCATGAATCCAAACCTGTCTTTATTGATAGGGAAGCAGATCAGGGAGGGGAGGTGTCTGTTTCTATGTAAAATGAACTAGAACTTAAGTGAATTGAGACCAATCCAGGTCCATTTACCAGTTTGTCTCTTAAAATTGTCCAGGGGCTTCCCTGGTGGCGCAGTGGTTGAGAGTCCGCCTGCCGATGCAGGGGACACGGGTTCGTGCCCCGGTCCGGGAAGATCCCACATGCTGCGGAGCGGCTGGGCCCGTGAGCCATGGCCGTTGAGCCTGCACGTCCGGAGCCTGTGCTCCGCAACAGGAGAGGCCACACAGTGAGAGGCCCGCGTACCGCAAAAAAAAAAAAAAAAAAAAAAAAATTGTCCAGATCTTCAAATCTAAGACAACTATCACCACCTTAGTTTGTTTGGGTTGCTATGACAAATGCCACAGATTGTGTTGCTTATAAACAACAGAAATTTATTTCTCAAAGTTCTGGAGGCTGGGAAGTCCGAGATCAAGGCTGCAGCATGGTTGTGTTCTGGGAAAGGCTTTCTTTCTGGTTCAGAGCGGGCACCTTCTCTCTGTGCCATCACATGGTGGAAGGGGCTGGGGAGCTCTCTGGAACCTCTTTTCTAGGGACACTAATCCCTTTCATCAGGAATCCATGCTCCTGACCTAAGTACCTCCCCCAACACTGCCGACTAATACCATTACCCTTGGGGGTTGGGGTTTCAGCATGTGAATGGAGGGCACACAAACATCCAGACCACAATACACAATCATACTTTTTCTTACCTATGAAGACTGATTAAATAGCTTTGGGAAATTAAATTGTTTTGGAGAACATGCCAATTAGAAAAGAGTTACATTGTATGAAAGTCAGTATAGATTTCAAACTAATCACTATCAATACTAATAAGGTACTTTGAAAGTGGAAAATCATAATGGAGAATGGATTTGCATTTTTACTTATTTATTTTTAAAAATATTTATTTATTTATTTATTTTTGTCTGCGTTGGGTCTTCGTTGCTGCACACGGGCTTTTTCTAGTTGCAGCGCGCGGACTTCTCATTGTGGTGGCTTCTCCTGTTGCGGAGCACAGGCTCTAGGCGTGCGGGCTTCAGTAGTTGTAGCACACGGGCTCAGTAGTTATGGCTCGTGGGATCTAGAGTGCAGGCTCAGTAGTTGTGGCGCACAGGCTTAGTTGCTCCGTGGCATGTGGGATCTTCCTGGAACAGGGCTCAAACCCATGTCCCCTGCATTGGCAGAGAGATTCTTAACCACTATGTCACCAGGGAAGTCCCTAAAATTTATTTTTTATTGAAGTATGGTTGAATCACAATGTTGTGTTCATTACTGCTGTACAGCAAAGTGACTCAGTTATACATTCTTTTTCATATTCTTTTCCATTATGGTTTATCACAGGATATTGAAGGATTTGGATTTTTTAATTCATTCTTCAGTGGAAGTGTTTACTATAAAAGTTTCCAGAAAAGGTTTAAGTTAACCCTATACTCACCATATTATTACAACCACTAGAACTGTGCATACAGGGCCAATGATGATGATGGTGATAAAAGGCATCTTCAAGTCATGAGTTAAGACTATTTTACCCAACATAGATAGAGGTAATGAGGTCATTACCTTACTAGAGCCAACAGAGGGGATGAGGTCTCTGAGTAATCGTGCAAAGGAAAATGTCCAGAAGCAAATTCATTAAAAAAAAATTTTTTTTTTGCCTATGCCACCTGGAATCTTAGTTCCCCAATCAGGGATTGAACCTGTGCCTCCTGCAGTGGATGCACAGAGTCTTAACCACTGGACCACCAGGGAAGTCCCCAGAAGAAAATTCTTGAGAAAACCCATAGTGAGTGGAAAGTAGAAGGGGAGTTTATTTCACACCTACTATGAACCTACTCTGCATTTCTTTACCCCACCTCCATCCTCCTTTCACTTTACTCCAGAAGGAATATATAGAATTAACCTACTAACGGCAAGAATACTATTGAACTACTCCATACAGGGCTGGGAATTCTTGGGCTTCTGAAAGCTTGGCTTGGAGAAACTTAGCACAGTGTCTGGCAAAATGCAAACAGTCTATAAATATTGGTCAAAGGAATGAATATTTGTTGAATGAAAGTTTATGTCTCTGGACACATTCTGACTTGCTTCTTTGGGTTACAGGTCTCCTGTTTGGCTGGCCTGGTAGGCTGGACCTCAGGCTTCTTTCAAAGAAGAATGGATGTCTCTTTGCTAAGAGGAACCAGGGTGGGGCCCAGGGGAGCAGAGGCTACTTTGGCCGATTTACTGAGGTCAAAGGCCTCTTCTCCAATCAATGTGGTCTGGCATAATAAACCAGGTATGGGTTTCCTAACTGGGGCTGGTTCATAGTCTTTTTTTTGGTTTTCTAGAAGATTTTGTGATTCAGGCAAAGGCTGACTGTTACTTCACCAATGGGACAGAAAATGTGCAGTTTGTGGTCAGATTCATCTTTAACCTGGAGGAGTATGCACGTTTTGACAGCAACTTGGGGATGTTTGTGGCCTTGACGGAGCTGGGCCAGCCTGACGCTGAGCTGTGGAACAATCGGCCCGATATACTGGCAAGGAGTAGAGCCTCTGTGGATGCGCTCTGCAGACACAACTACAAGCTGGGTGCACCCTTCACTGTGGGGAGAAAAGGTGAGGTGTAAGGTGGGGACTGCAGGGATTCAGGAATCTCCCCCGTGTGAGCCTGGCTGTGGCTCTTCTTCCTTGTACTGGGCAGTTTCCTGCTTCAGGATAGATGGGTCAGGAGCAGGGGAGTCTGTATATGTTCTGTCCTCAATTGTGACTCACCCGCTATCCTCAGGGGTCAGTTCATGGTGGTCTTGGGTCCCAGACCCCCAGTTCTCAGGGACTTTAAGGGCTAGTGTCTTCCCAAATACAAGGGGCAATTGTGGGCATGTGATAAAGCCTAAATCCTCCTTGCGACACTAACATACCCAGCGTTTGAGTCTTTGGGGGTGAGATTTTCCCACATTTCCAGTTTCTACTTGGGTGATTTGGGAAAGAAATATGGGGCTGAGATAACCTTTAATGAAACTCCTGTGTTGGCTTTGTGGATTTCCTTCACCATGTCTCATTTCTTCTCTCCCCCGCTAGTGCAACCAGAGGTGACCGTGTATCCAGAGAGGATCCCAGCCTTGCAGCACCACAATCTGCTGCTTTGCTCTGTGACAGGTTTCTATCCAGGGGACATCAAGATCACGTGGTTCCGGAATGGGCAGGAACAGAGAGAGGGGGTCATGTCCACTGGCCTCATTAGGAATGGAGACTGGACCTTTCAGACAATGGTGATGCTGGCAATGACTCCTGAACTTGGAGAGGTCTACACCTGCCTTGTTGATCATCCCAGCCTGCTGAGCCCTGTTTCTGTGGAGTGGAGTGAGAATCAGCTTATACTTTCTGGACAAAACTCGGCTCAATCTGACTCAAGACCTGTGTTACCTCTGTGTTCATCTTGGCTTCAACACTAGCTCTTCTTGCCTCTGATCTGAGGGAGTCATAGAAATTGGGGTCTTTGGGTTGGGGTGGGAAAAAACATGGCTATCCTTGGATCTTCCAAGAAATATGGAGGTGTAATCACCTTGTCACTTACTTCCAACTTTGGGAACTACTGTCCTCTAATGCTTTGGTCTTGGCATTTAGGGGGGCATTATTATTGGCTATAAGGTTCATTAACAGAAACTCCATGAGTACAAACCTTGGCTTCAAAGATGTAGTCCTTCCCTAGATAGCACTGGATCGGTGTCCAGCACAGGTTCTGGGATTTCAGGAAGGTACACCAAATATTGGGAGCTTTTGGCTCACTTTAATACATGTTTTCCATAGGAGCTCAGTCTGAATATTCTTGGAGAAAGATGCTGAGTGGAATTGCAGCCTTCCTGGTCGGGCTAGTCTTCCTTCTGGTGGGGATCGTCATCCACACCAGGGCTCGGAAAGGTAATGAGCTCTGAGGAGTACCCCTGCCCCCTGCCCCCTGGCTTTCCCCACTTCCCACTTTTCCTAACGTCTAAGGTGCAAGGCAGGGAGGGCTGATCATACCTCTCAGGGATCACTGGGATAGTTTTTTCCTGAAGCCAGAAACATTCCGGAGGGTAATTGGAGATGGACTTCGGATACTCTGGGTCATCCTCCATCGCTCAGGATAATCACAACATTTGGTTCTAACTGGGGCATCCTATTTCTTGCTTTTTTATTGTAGGACGTGTGGAGACTCTGTTGTCTGGTGCTGAGGTAATGTTTCCTTCCTTAGCTTTTGGTGCCAGATCATTCACCCATCCTTTGGTGGAGGGAGGGTCACGGGGATAAGATGTAAGTGACTCTGGCTGGGTGCGCTGTCTGCTGAGTCCCTGTGCTGGAGGGTGGGGGACTCACGGGACTTTATCACTGTCCCTGCAGGTCCCAAGAGCAGTTCTTCGTCCACAGCCACATTAAGGTCCTAATAGAAGCTTCTCCCCCTGGAGCCTGAAGAGGGTTTGAGTGGTCCTGGATTAAGTGAAGGACATTCATGAGGTCAATGTTCTGGATGACTCCTTTCCATGGGACCTTGGAGGAGTCCTGAACTGATTCTAGAGTCTTGTGTTCTGAGATCACGCATCTCTCATCTTTGTGCCCTTCTTCCTCCTCCTTGTCTATACTAGTCCCCATTTCCAGGGACAGTGTCCAGAAATTCCCCTAAGACCTAGCTCCTTCCAAATCCCAAACTTTTTACTTTTCTGTGGTCCAGCCCTAACCCTCTAAGTCGTGATCTCCATCTTTCTCTCTTCCAAAGGCAGCCCCACAGTCTTCAGAAGACAAACGTTCAGATAGTCACTGCTCCCTTTTCATTGTTTTTTAAAAGACTTTTTCCTTTCAAATAAAACTGAGATAGAGATTACCACATAAAATGTATAATTCAATACATGACTTACGGCAAAACCCCTGTAATCAATGCTCAGTTCAAGAAACAGAACTTTTCCAGCTGCTGCATAAGTCTCCCTGCTGCAGGCCAATCAAAGCCCACTCCCTCCTCTCAAAAGCAGTCATATCCTTGCAAACTATTTGGGCCTTGAATTTCCTTTGAGGGATGATTTTATTACACTTAACAATTAAAAAAAAAATCATCTGTAGGACTATACAGATGGTCTAATTTCGGGGTCAGCTTTGGTAAATTTTGTGCGGTAGATTGATTAGGGTACAAAGTATTTGTCATTCATCTCATGGAGATGTAGCTGGCCCTGGACTTAGACCATTCTGAGAGTACATCTAAAGAAGGCTTACAGCTTTTACTTTCCTATTGGAAGTCCTGAGCCATCAGGTAAGAAGTTTGCCTTCATTGCTGATGGGGCCACATAGGCCACGTTAGAAGCACTGGAATTGCTGAGGGAGAGAGTGTCTCTGTGTCCCAGTTGAGCCTCCAGAGGACCCCAGCCCCAGCCACCATCTGACTGCAACCACATGAGAGACCCTCTGTGAATACCACCTTCTAAGCTCAGTCAACTCCCAGAACTGTGAAAAATCATTAAATGGCTGTAGTTTTAAGCCACTAAGTTTGGGTGTAATTTGTTATACAGAAATAGATCATGAAATGTTGTTTTGGGGTGTAATTTGTTATACAGAAATAGATGATGGAATGTTGTTTTTCAAAGAATTTTATCAAAACAACAAATCTACCGGCACAAACTTCTTTATATCCTGTTAGTATCTTTTAATGTTTGTAGAATCTGTAGCAATGGCATCTTTTTGTTACAGATGTTAGTAATTTGTATTTTTCTTCCTTATCAGTCTTGCAGGTGGTTTATCAAAAAAAAAAAAAAAGAAGAAAAAAAGAAAACTCTAGCTTTGTGATTTTCTTTATTATACATCTATTGTCCATTCTATTTCCTCTCTTATCTTCATTATTTCCTTTCTTCTACTTTTTTTTGGCGTGTTTCTCCAGTTTACACAGCGCCATTTGTTGAAGACACTATCCTTTCCCCATTGGATATTCTTGGCTCCCTTGTCAAATATTAGTTGAATATATATGGAAGGGTTTAATTCTGGGCTCTCTTTTCTGTTCCACTGGTCTATGTGTCCATTTTAATGTCAGTACTATACTGTTTTTATTACTATAGTTTAAAACCAGGAAGTGCGATACCTCTGGCTTTGTTCTTCCTTCTCAGGGTTGCTTTGGGTATTCTGGGTCTTTTGTAGTTTATGATTTTTTTGCTATACAGGTTGCTAGTCCTACATCATTCACTTAAAACTTGGTATATTAGTCCTTTGCATGGCTATACCACAATTCATCCATTCTCTCTCTTAAAATTAAGACTGTTTCTTTTCTCTTCAGTTACTTTTTTTTTTATGTCATCTTGGCACATGTATGAGAATTTATTTAGAATGTTTTTATCTAGGATGGAAGTCTGGGATTATCCAACTACCCAAAGGGATATACACCAATATTTAACATATTTTATAATTTTTTGATGTACAGAATTTTCATAATCAAGACAAAGTTGTCAGTTTTTCTTTTTGAATTTGGAAATAATTTTGTTATTCCTAACCTGGTGCAACAAACATTCAATTACAAGTCTCTTTAAGCTAATGTAGGATTGTTTCTTTTAGATAGATATTGTCTTAGTCCATTCAGGATACTACAACCAAATACCATAAACTGAGTAGCTTATAAACAGCAGAAATTTATATTTCACAGTTCTGGAGGTGGGAAGTCTGAGATCAGGATACCAGCAAGGTCGAGTTCTGGTGAAAACCCTCTTCTAGGTTTGCAGACCGTCAATATCTCACTGTGGCCTCACATGGTGGAAGGGAAGACCCTGGTCTTTTGGGCCCTTTATAAGGGCACTAATCCCATTCATAAGGGGTCCACCTTCAGAACTTAATCACCCCCCAAAGCTCTACATCTTAATACCATCACATTAGGGACTAGGTTTCAGCAGATACATTTTGTAGAGGCACAAACATTCAGAACATTGCAGATATATGGATGTGGATTTTATTATTGTTGTCAATCATGTAACATTTGCACTTTAATATTTTAATAGATACCACCAAGCTCCCACTCATTCATGATGCTACTAATAATATATGAGAGAATCCATTCCCACAGACTCTTGTAAATCCTTTATTTAAAAAACTCAGACTATTATATTTGCCAATTTGGGGGAGAAATATTTCATCACATTGCTATTTGAATTTGTATTTTTTTCTGATTATTGGTGTGTTTGAGTAAATATTTTATGTTTATTGGCCTTTGGTGTATTTGATTCTGTAAATAGTCTGTATCTTTGCCCACTTTTCTGTTGTTTATTTTTGTTCATTTATTTGTTGGTTTGTTGGCAATTTTACATAATAAGAAAGTTAGCCCATTGTCAGCCTTGTGTGTTGCAAAGTTTTCTGAGCTTTACATATTTCTTTAAAATTTATTTAATCCATGCAAATAAATTAAAAATTTTTATTCAAATACATATTTTTATTTATGTCTTCTAGACTTTCTGTCTTGCTTAGGAAGACTCTTTTTCTTTTAAGAAGGATTATTTTAACAGGCTTCTTGAGGTATAATTTACTTACCACAAATTCACTCTTTGTACATGTAAAATTTAATGCTTTCAGTGAATTATAGTTTTTTTCTTTTAATTTATTTTTAATTGAGGTAACATTGGTTTATAACACTATATAAGTTTTATGTTACAACCTTTTATTTCTATTTTTCTACACACTAGAGCATGCTCACTGCCAGATTTAGTTTCCATTCATCTTCATAGAGTTTATCCCCTTAACCCATTTCACCCTCCTCCCACTTCTGGGTATTTATCCAAAGACTATGAAAACTCTAACTCGAAAAGATATATGCGTCCCCATGTTTATCACAGCATTATTTGCAATAGCCAAGATATGGAAACAACCTAAGTGCCCACCAACAGATGAACGGATAAAAAAAAGATGTGGTATATATATATATACATATATATATATGTATACGCACACACACACACATACAATGGAATACTATCAGCCATAAAAAAAGATGAAGTCTTGCCATTCGCAACCACATGGATGGACCTTGAGTGTATGACCCTAAGTGAAATAAATCAGATGGAGAAAGAGAAATCTGTATGATTTTACTGATATGTGGACTGCAAAAACAAGTAAATAAAAACAAAATAAACAAGACATATCAAACAAAAATAAATGCTTAGATACAGAGAACAGAGTAGTGGTTACGCTGGTGTCTTTTGATTGGTTAATTCAACCTATTTACATTTAGGGTGAATATTGATAGATGAGGACATGGTACTGCCGTTCTATCTTTTGTTTTCTGGTTGTTTTATGTCTCTATTGCTTCTTTTTTCCTTGTGTTTCTATCTGCCATTTTAGTTTGGTGGTGTTAAAGGACGTTTTTCTCAGTTTCCTCTTTTTTAATGTTTCATGTCTCTGCTCTAGGTTTATGTTTTGTTGTTACCATGAGATTTGTATAAAACATCTCATATATAAAATAGTCTTTTTTTCTGCTGATAGCATCTTATCTTCATTTACCTATATGACTTCTGTAGTTTTCCTCTTCCCTTTTTATGTTTTTGTTGTCTCAAATTATCCCTTATGTTGTGTTTGTTCTCAGATTGAAGTAGCTATAGTTATTTTTATGCCTCGCCCCCCTTTTACCTTTATGCTACAATAAATGTTTGAAAACCTATTCTGATACAGAGCTGCAATTTTCTGATTCTGTCTGTGTATCACCTTACTCAAAGTTGTGTGTACTTTTTACCTTTTTGAAAGCAGCTCTTTTGCCCCTTTCCTATTTGCCCATTTCTGTTCCTCTCTAACCTTAAAAGAACCTAATTATAGGAATGAGATCACTAGGCAATTGAAACTAACTCCCGACTTATGCTCTCCTGAATGCACACCATGCCTTGTCTAACCTGTTGATTCTTTTCCTAGATAAAAAGCAGTTAAAAAATGACTAGCTCTCTACCCCCAGCAGCTCAAACCTCCCCCCCCACCCCACCCCCACCCCCGCAAGCAATCCTGCAGGAGATCACGCAGGCAAGATAACATCTGAAGAGAGAGTCAGCCAGTCTGCACTCAATGGAGAATGATGCAGAACCCAGCCTCCTGCCTTGGTGATTCACTGAGATTCTTTCCCTCCATTTTTCCCTTTAAAAACTGTCATGGCTGAGCAGAATCTTTGGAGTTGGTTTGGGAAACATGTCCACTTTCTCCCCAGATTTCTGGCTTTTCTGATTAAAGCACGTTTCCTTCCTACTGACACTTGCCTCTCAAATTATTGGCTTATGAATGGCGAACAACTGAACCTGGGTTCAGTTACATTTTTATTTCTGGTAGAAGAGCTCCTTCTTACATCTTTTGTAAGGAAGGTATATGTTGATGAGCTCTCTCAGCTTTCGTTTGTCTGAGAAAGTATTTCTCCTTCATCTCTGAATGACAACCTTGTTGGATAGAGTAGTCTTGGCTAACAGTTATCTTTCAGTATTTTGAGAATGTCATTCCACTCCCTCTTGACCTGTAGAATTTCTGCTAAGAACTCTGCTGATAAACTAATGGGGGTTCCTTTGCAGGTTACTATCCTTTTTTCCCTGGATGCTTTTAAAAAATTCTCTGTCATTGACTTTTTTTTTTCTTTTCTTTTTTTGGCTGTGCTGTGCAACATGTGGAATCTTAGTTCCCTGACCAGGGATTGAACCCGAGCCCCCTGCAGTGGAAGCACGGAGTCCTAACCACTGGACCACCAGGGAAGTCCCTGTCATTGACTTTTGACAATTTTAATATAATGTGTCTTGGAGATGGTCTTTTTGCATTAAGTTAATGAGGGGCTCTATTTGCTTCATTGACTTGTAGATTCAGTTCCTTCCCCTGGTTGGTAAGTTCTCAGCCATTCTTTCTTTTTTATTATATTAAAAAAAAATATTTATTTTATTTATTCTTTTTTTTTTTGGCTGCGTTGGGTCTTCGTTGCTGCGTGCGAGCTTTCTCTAGTTGAGGCGAGTGGGGGCTACTCTTCCTTGCGGTGAGCGGGCTTCTCATTGCGGTGGCTTCTCCTGTTGTGGAGCATGGGCTGTAGACACAGGGGCTTCAGTAGTAACTCGTGGGCTCTAGAGCACAGGCTCAGTAGTTGTGGCTTATGGGCTTAGTTACTCTGCGGCATGTGGGATCTTCCCGGACCAGGGATCGAACCTGTGTCCCCTGCATTGGCAGGTGGATTCTTAACCACTGTGCCACCAGGGAAGCCCCTCAGCCATCATTTCTTTAAATAAACTTCTCTCATCCCTTCTCGCTCTCTTCTGAGATACCCATCACCCTAATGTTGCCCTTCCTAAAAGAGTCAAATGGCTCTCACAGAATTTCCGCATTCTAAAAAGATTTCCGTGCTTGCTTTGACAGTACATATACTAAAATTGGAACCATAAAGAGAGAGATTAGCATGGCCCCTGCGCAAGGATGACACGCAAATTCGTGAAGCATTCCATATTTTTATAGATAGCTAGTGGGAAGCAGCCACATAGCAACAGGGAGATCAGCTCGGTGCTTTGTGACCACCTAGAGGGGTGGAATAGGGAGGGTGGGAGGGAGACGCAAGAGGGAGGGGATATGGGCATATTTGTATATGTATAGCTGATTGTTATAAAGCAGAAACTAACACACCATTGTAAAGCAATTATACTCCAATCAAGATGTTAAAAAAATAAATAAAAAGATCTTTCTCTTCCCTCTTCTACTAGTATCATTTCTACATTTCTATCTTTGAGCTCACAAATTCTCTCTGCCATACGGTCTACTCTATTTCCAGTGCTTTCTCAAGAATTCTTCATCTCGTTTATTAGTTCTTTAACTCCAGAATTTCTATGTGGTTCTTTCTTTTTTTTTAGGGTTTCAATCTCTTTGGGAAAGTATTCCTTCTGTTCTGCCTTTGTGAGTTTCGTTGCTCGTTGAGTTTCTTCCTGACAGAATTCTAACTGACTGAATTCTCTGTCAGTTAGATCACCATATCCCATGACCTTATGATTGTTTTCTGGAGAATTATTTACTTTTGTGGTACACTATTGCTGTGGTTCTTCATGGTGCTTGATGAGTTGTCCTCTGCCAGCACATGTGAAGTAGCGAGCACACTTCTATTCTGATGAACCGTGGGTTTAGAAGTTAGAGGCTTTTCTTTTGTTTTCCAGTAGGTGGCACTAGAGCACACGGTTTTGGTTTCTTTTACCTGAGCTGCCGCTGGTTATATTTGAGTTCTTCTGTCAGGGGTGTTGCAAGGCGCTCTCACTGTCACTTCTTGTGCCTCTGGAGTCATTGGTGCTTTGCTGCTGCCCGTGTTGCTGGTGTTGCCACTTGAGGCTCTGAGATGGGGGCTCTTCTGCTGTGTCTGGGGTCCCCTGAGTTGCCATTGGCTGTTGTTTCCACCTCCAAGTACTTTCTCTTTCCCAGAGGTCAGGGAGTGGGTCTGATCACAGGGTTGGTTCTCCCCGCAACCAGCCCCCACCCCTAAGTGGGGTCCAACTGTCACCTCATTAATATAACGAGACACCTTTGTGGCTCTCATCACTTTGGAAATTCCAAGTGTTTTAGGAGAACTGTGCCAGGAATGGGGAAAAAGACCAAATATAGATTACATTTTATGAAACCCAATATCACACTCTGGGAAAAATTAAGTTGCCTCTTGTGTAATTAAAAATTTGTTAAGATGATAAGTCTCATGGAAAGGATTCTTATCACAATAAAGGTGGGGAACACAGGGAAATTTTTGGAGGTGATGGATATATTTAACTATTGGACAGCTACATTGATCAGCTCTGGAGGTGCCCTACCTGGGGCCCATCTGCTATGTAAAATAAGTAAAAAACAAATCAAAGCCAAATTGATTGGGTTTTCTCTACTACTAGCAGCAGAAAGTGTCTTCATTGAAATAGTCATGCCATACATTTTAATTCAACCTTATAATTTCACACCAGGTTTCAAATAAAATGAGAGGAATCATTTCTTCATCTCAGGTAACAAAGCAAGAGTAAAGCTGCAACCTTGGGATCAAATAAAACTTATCTCAACTGTATGTCTATTGCAGACATGCCTATCTCCTTATTAAATTCCTATAGCATGATGACTTATTTAGTGTAAATAATATACAATGCAACTAAGATGTTCAAAAAATAGACTGAATTTGCTTAAAAATAGAATAATAGTCTCTGACACTGGAGGAATTGTGCTCAAATGATTATTACTTTGAAATAAACTTCTAAATCAATCACTTACATTTAGAATTTCCTTCTATTTGACACTGACTCTTCAAATGGAACAAAATAAAAGAATCCTCTATTTTCTCAACGAATTTCTTTCTCTGAGATGTGTCCAACAACTTTATATAATCTATATTACTTATAATTACTTCTAGTATAATAATTTACTTATATTCCCAAAGTCTATGGAATTTAGAATTATATAATGATTTAATAGTTGCACAATGTTTTATACAAGGGTAGAATATTTCTTTGATTTACTTTTCTAGCTTGTTTCTAATCACATACTTTTTGTCAAGTTTGTTTCCATTCTTATCGTCTGTTTTCAGTTTATGTAACTCCTTTTTAATCTTTTGGATTAAATTTACCATTTACCATTTACCAATCCCATTGACCATTGCAACAAAAAGAATAAAATACCTAGGAATAAACCTACATAGGGAGACAAAAGACCTGCATGCAGAAAATTATAAGACACTGATGAAAGAAATTAAAGATGATGCCAACAGATGGAGAGATATACCATGTTCTTGGACTGGAAGAATCAATATTGTGAAAATGACTATACTACCCAAAGCAATCTACAGGTTCAATGCAATCCCTATCAAATTACCAATGGCATTTTTTACAGAACTAGAACAAAAAAATCTTAAAATTTGTATGGAGACACAAAAGACCCCAAAGAGCCAAAGCAGTCTTGAGGGAAAAAAACGGAGCTGGAGGACTCAGACTCCCTGACTTCAGACTATACTACAAAGCTACAGCAATCAAGACAATATGGTACTGGCATAAAAACAGAAACAAAGATCAATGGAACAAGATAGAAAACCCAGAGGTAAACCCATGCACCTATGGTCAACTAATCTATGACAAAGGAGGCAAGGATATACAATGGAGAAAAGACAGCCTCTTCAATAAGTGGTGCTGGGAAAACTGGACTGCTACATGTAAAAGAATGAAATCAGAACACTCCCTAACACCATACACAAAAATAAGCTCAAAATGGATTAAAGACCTAAATGTAAGACTGGGCACTATAAAACTCTTAGAGGAAAACATAGGAAGAATACTCTTTGACATAAATCACAGCAAGATATTTTTTGATCCACTTCTTAGAGTAATGGAAATAAAAACAAAAATAAACAAGTGGACCTAATGAAACTTGAAAGCTTTTGCACAGCAAAGGAAACCATAAACAAGATGAAAAGACAACGCTCAGAATGGGAGAAAATATTTGTAAATGAATCATTGGAAAAAGGATTAATCTCCAAAATATATAAACAGATCATGCAGTTCAATATTAAAAAAAAAAACAAAACAAGCCAATCCAAAAATGGGCAGAAGACCTAAATAGACATTTCTCCAAAGAAGACATACAGATGGCCAAGAAGCACATGAAAAGCTGCTCAACATCACTAATTATTAGAGAAATGCAAATCAAAACTACAATGTGGTATCACCCCACACTGGTTAGAATGGGCATCATCAGAAAATCTACAAACAACAAATGCTGGAGAGGGTGTGGAGAAAAGGGATCCCTCTTGCACTGTTGGTGGGAATGTAAATTGATACAGCCACTATGGAGAACAGTATGGAGGTTTCTTAAAGAACTAAAAATAGAATTACCATATGACCCAGCAATCCCACTACTGGGCATATACCCAGAGGAAACCATAATTCAAAAAGAAACATGCACCCCAATGTTCATTGCAGCACTATTTACAATAGCCAGGTCATGGGAGCAACCTAAACGCCCATCGACAAATGAATGGATAAAGAAGATGTGGTACATATACACAATGGAATATTACTCAGCCATGAAAAGAAATGAAATTGGGTCATTTGTAGAGACATGGATGGATCTAGAGACTATCATACAGAGTGAAGTAAGTCAGAAAGAGAAAAACAAATATCGTATATTAATGCATATATATGGAACCTAGAAAATGGTACAGATGAACTGGTTTGCAGAGCAGAAATTGAGACACAGATGTAGAGAAAAGACGTATGGACACCAAGGGGGGAAGCGGTGGGGGGTGGGGGTGGGGGTGTGATGAATTGGGCGATTGGGATTGACATGTATACACTGATGTGTATAAAATGGATTACTAATAAGAAAAAAAAATAAAGTTGTACCTAATATAAAAGGGGTTTTTAATATGTGTTTGCTGAATAAATTAATCAATTAATTAATTTACTGGTGCACACTATATTTAGTGTTTAGTGATATAAAAAAATAAAATTTTGATTACATAAAATATTTGAATATTCTTCAATTTAAAATGATTAAATAAGATATTCAGACAAGTCAAGCTTTCAAATCTGTCCATTACAACATATTTTCTCATTGTCATTTAGGCAACCACTTTTACAAACCTTCCATTGTTTCTCTATACACATGAGAGTAGAATATAATGGAATAGAATGGGTATAGCTAGATATTCTTTTTCTCCTCCTCTCTCCTTTTGCTAATTTATTAAGCAAAATGTTGTATACTACACATACTCTCCTGTACCTTGCTCCAAATATATTTTGGAGATTATTCCATAGCAGGGTACAGAGAGCTTCTCATTTTTTTCTAGCTGCAGGGTACTTCATCGTTTATATCAGTGTATTCATGCATTCCCTTTTGTTTCCCAGAATTTTCTGTTTTCTGCTAAGGTAAGGTCCACACAGGATTCTCTCATGACAGACAGTTTGTCACACTATCTGGTGGGGGGCCTCAGAAATACATCTTTTCCACTACAGTGGCTTTGTCCTGATAGCTTTCTGAAAAGAGCACATCCCAAGTCAGAGTCAGCATGCCACTGATTTTTATTCAAAATATAGAAAAAACAATTGAGGTGTTGAAATCTACCCTTAATAATAAAAGGAAAGTTCTAGAAGTACCCAGGTTTAGATATTTTCTTTTAAAAAAATCAGGGAAAAGAGACAAAAGAATGTGATTGAAGGCATCATATGCTTACAAGTTACCTGCATGTCTTGTATTTGTTGTCCCCTTTCTGTATCCCATGGTGTGAAGGGACTTGTGTGTTTGCCTTTGAGAATGCAAAGATGTAGGAGACCAGGAAGTGGGTTCAGTAAGGGCTTTCTCCTAGCTCAGGGCAACACGCCTAAATACAGAATGCAGAAAACCCCCGAGATAAAACAGGGAAGGAAGCAAGGAAACCTTCCAGATCACATGTGTCCAAAATTCCGGAATGTAAATGAAAATGGTCTTTGTTTTGTGATGCAACTCTCCCTTTCTCTTTTCCTTCTATTTCTTGTCCTTGATGCTGTATGAAGCAGAAGATTCACTCCCTGTGTATCTCAGAAAATAAATATAAGGAAATGAGGGCCAAAGGAGGCAGCAAGGGTAGAAAGCAAAGAGGATCAGGAAAGAATGAAATAAGGTACTGGAATCAACACTGGGAACTTCCAGGTCCAGGTTAGGGGCTGAGGAAGCCATCCAGGACATTTCCTGCAGGGTCATTCAACCAGATCCTGAGCAAACCAGATCCTGAGAAAGTACTCTTGTTGTGAAGAATGAGTGCTAAGCAGGAAAACTTTTCGTGCTGTGAAGAAGCTGGGACAGAAGGTTCTTCTTTGTTTAAAAAAATTTTTTTTTTATTGAAGTACAGTTGATTTACAGTGCTGTGCCAATCTCTGCTGTACAGCAAAGGGACTCAGTTACACACATATAGACATTCTTTTTTATATTCTTTTCCATTATGGTTCATCACAGGAGATTGGATATAGTTCCCTGCACTATACATTAGGACCTTGTTGTTTATCCATCCTATATATAATAGTTTGCATCTGCTAATCCCAAACTCCCACTCCATTCTTCCCCCACCTCCCCTCCCCCTTGACAACCACAAATCTGTTCTCTCTGTCTATGAGTCAATTTCTGTTTTGTAGATAGGTTCATCTGTGCCATATTTTAGATTCCACATATAAGTGACATCATATGGTATTTGTCTCTTTCCGACTTACTTCACTTAGTGTGATCACCTCTAGTTGATGGGACAGAAGGTTCTTGCTTGAGTGTTACCATCTTCGCTTCAGCTCAGGAGTCCTACAGGAGACAAGAGGAGAGGGTTTTTTCCAGACCTACCTCTTCATGCTGCTTCGTTCCCTCTTTTGGGGGGCCTCACGTTAAAGCCCTGTAGTAAGAAGGGGGAAATCATTCTTTTTCTTTTGGCGGTACGCAGGCCTCTCACTGTTGTGGCCTCTCCCGTTGTGGAGCACAGGCTCCGGACGCGCAGGCTCAGGGCCATGGCTCACGGGCCCAGCCGCTCCGTGGCATGTGGGATCTTCCCGGACCGGGGCACAAACCCGTGTCCCCTGCATCGGCAGGCGGACTCTCAACCACTGCGCCACCAGGGAAGCCCGGGAAATCATTCTTAAGCCTCCCTGAGCCAAAGATACTTTAGAGCACAGGCCTCTTATATTATTTATTTATTTATTTTTAACTGAAGTATAGTTGATTTACAATGCTGTGTTCATTTCTGCTGTATAGCAAAGTGATTCAGTTACACACACACACACACACACACACACACACACACACACATTTTCTTTTCCCTTATGGTTTATCCCAAGATACTGAATATAGTTCCCTGTGCTATACAGTAGGACCTTGTTGTTTATCCATCCTATATGTAATAGTTTGCATCTGCTAACCCCAAACTCCCAATCCATCCCTCCCCCACCCCCACCCCCTTGGCAAACACAAGTCTGTTCTCTTACTAGCTGGTGCAAAGCTTTATTGCAAACCACCTAATCAGAATTCAAAGTCTTTCTCCTTTTGTCTGTCTCCTGTCTTGTCATCTCCACCACCATTTCTAGGAGACCAAATCCATCTCTAAAAGAGGCCGAAGGGGCATTACCTGTTGGCTGAAGTCCAGAGTATCCTAGGAAAGGGAAGGGAGGATGTATACTTAAAAGATACGGAGGCAAGTCTGTTCCCGGATACAATGTCCCCAGCCCCTGACTCCCCCCTCTCACCTGAGATTTCTCTACATCACCATCCATATCACCTGATGCCAGGGTGGAGAGGAGAGCAGACCCTGAGAGCATGTGACCTAGGAAGCCTCCGTCACGCAAATCCAGCATCATTTCATCAGGCTTAGCGTCTCTTCTTGCATTTGCCCCAGGATCTCCATCTGAGATCTCCATGCATGATAACCCTTCTCTTATCTGTACAGGCCATCACCTCTTATATTTCACTCATAAATAACTGCGGACTGTTGATTTCTGGATTTCCAGGAAATTTGAGATTGACTAGGTAAAGGTTGCTCGATGTGTTCTCTGAATATCGATGACCCTGTATGATGACCCTGTAGGATAGGGTCATTGATATTCAGAGAACTCACTGAGCAAAGCCATATTTCTTCCTCCAAGAAACCTGTGGGGCATCTCAGCTGCTAACAGCTTCCTTACCATTTTAATTCCTGATTAAGAGCAGCCCCACCCCAAGGAAAAGCAGACCCATAACACAGGCTCCGATTCTACTCAGTATCTTGCCTCGTGAAGGTTCATACCGTGTGCCTGAGAAAAGAAGCTAGTTTGGGTGATTTTTACCCTGAATCCAACTTCTCTGAGACTCTGAGAGCTTTGACTGGGGGGAGAAGCCTGATATGAAAGAACTAGAATAATTGGCCATTCCTAGAAAAGGAATGGCTACAAGGTTCAGGCAGTGAATCGCTTAAATATCACAGCCCTGGCATAAGGCCACACGTCTTCAACATCTGATGGACGAGGAGCCTGGGACTGGTTGAGATTGAACTCCCCTCAGGACAGGAACATCCCTGTAGAGGATGTGCCCCTTCTCAGGTCACAATAACAACTCAGAGCAGGAGTGTCAGAAGCACAAGCCCAGCCCGACGCAGGGGACTGGTGCCCAGGGCCAAGGGGTGACCATGACCTGTGATGTCATGGGAGGCTCAAAACAGGGACATCCTCTTTTCTGCTTGTCAGGCAGAACTGCCTCCCCAGGGAGTATAGGTATTTGTAGAAACCATCACGAGATGTCTGTAAACAATCAGGAGATTTCTATCACAGGATATCACAGGGCAGCCTCAATAACCTAAGCTGAAGGAGAGAAGAACATGGAGAAAATGCACATATGCTGTGGGGAGAGGAGAAACCTGACACTCGGGGGTAAGCAAGTCTCCTCCCTGATGGGTAAGGAATTTTCGAGGTCAGAAGGCTTCTCACTCCATTCCACTGTGACAGGGCTCGTCCAGCTGGGGTGCTCCACGTGGCAGGTGTAGACCTCTCCACTTTGAGGAACTATTTCAAGCATCACCATGGTCTGGAAGGTCCAGTCTCCATTAGGGATCAGGCCTGTGGAGACCACCCCCCGCCTCCTCTTCCTGGCCATTCTGGAAGCACCTGACTTCAGTGTGGCCTGGATAGAAACCATTCACAGAGCAGACCAGGAGGCTGTGGTGCCACAGGGGCTGGGTCTTTGCAGGATACATAGTCACTGTAGGCTCCAGTAGGAGAGAAAATGTAGAGGGAATAGCGAGGGAGACAGTAAGTCTCCTGACCAGATGTAGCCTTGTGCAGACCAGGCTGCCATGTGGCTTAGGAGAAGTCAGTGTCATGGGTCTTGAATTTAACCCCTATAACAGGGCCTATTATAGTTGAGAGATGTTGAGCAAAATTGTGGGGTTTCTTTTCATAATTTGAAACAGTTACCTATTGTTGAAGTGTTTACAAATTTTGCAAGACACAGGGTGCATTCAATAAAAGGGTGATTTCTGTAACTAGGCTGCCTGTGTTCAAATCCAGGCTTTACTTCTAACTGGTTAATCCTGGGAGAGTTTTTAAATCCCTCTGTGCCTCAGTTTTCTCTCCTCTAAAGGAGGATAATGATATGAATTTACCTCTTCAAGTTAAATGAGTCATATATACAATGGAATACTACTCAGCCATAAAAAAGAATGAAATAATGCCATTTGCAGCAACATGGATGGACCTAGAGATGATCATACTAAGTGAAGTAAGTCAGAAAGAGAAAGACAAATACCGTATGATATCACTTATATGTGAAATCTAAAATATGACACAAATGAACTTATCTACGAAAGAGAAACAGACTCACGAACATAGAGAACAGACTTGTGGTTGCCAAGGAGGGCGGGGCTGGGGGAGGGATGGAGTGGGAGGCTGGGGTTAGCAGATGTAAGCTATTATACTGTATATGGAATGGATAAACAACAAGGTCCTACTGTATAGCCCAGAGAACTATATTCAATATCCTATGATAAACCATAATGGAAAAGAATATTTTAAAAAGGATGTATATATTTATAACTGAATCACTTTGCTGTACAGCAGAGATTAACACAACATTGTAAATCAACTATACTTCAATAAAAAATATTGATCATCATATTAAAAAAAAAGAGCTAATGGACTTAAACCATGTAAGGAAATGGTTGGGGGAATTCCCTGGTGGTCCAGTGGTTAGGATCTGCGCTCTCACTGCTGAAGGCCCAGGTTCAGTCGCTGATCAGGGAATTAAAGTCCCACAAGCCGCACAGGGAGGGCCAAAAAAGAAAAAAAAGAGATGGCCAGAACTTAGCCTTCAGTATATGTCAGTTACTTATTGAATGTTTTTACTGTGAAAGAAAGTGTGATTCACAGCTTAAGGGTAAATTAGGGAACAGTAGTGGGGTAGATAGAGATGTAGAGTGTGAAATCCTGGTTACACTGCCTCAATGGACTCACATCTTAGAACAGCACAGAAATGGTTCTTCCCCTGAGAAGCAGAAATAGACAGAGGTCATTCTCTAACGCTATGAGTTGTGTCTCAAGGAAAGCATGAGTCCTGCAGAGGAAAAGGAACAAGGAAAGTTAATCATTTAAAAAGTTTTTATTGTTTTATACTCAGCTGATGGATCTCTCTCTCTCTCTCTCTTGCTCTTTTTTTTTTTCCCCCCCAAAAAAGCCACATCTAGTTTTTCAATTGTTATCATTTTAGAATTCTCTCTCCTTCTAAACTGACATTTGAGATCAGGGCAGGGTCTGGGACTCTTCACGTCTGAGACAGCCTCTAGCACTCTCAGGCCCTCAATAAATACAATTATTTTAAAAGAAAGGAGAGGGACTTCCTTGGACGTCCAGTGGTTAAGACTCTGCCCTCCCAATGCTCAGGGCCTGGGTTTGATCCCTGGTTGGGGAACTAAGATCCCACATACTGCAACTAAGCCTGCGTGCCACAACTAGAGAAGCCCTTGTGTGGCGACTAGACCCAGCACAGTCAAAGTTAAATAAATAAATAAATAAATAAATAAATAAATAAATAAATAAATAAAAAGGAGAAATGGGGGACACAATTGTACAGTACCACAAAATAGCAGATTTAAGACCGATGGTAAATCATTAGTCACAATTTTTCCGTTTCTATTTCAGTAAGTAAAAAATGTTAAATTCTCAACATGGAAAATATTGAACAGAATCTAATAGAAACCACAAACTGGAGAAAATGTTGAATCAAATACCAGCAAAGTGTTAATAATCTTACTGCATAGACAGCCCATAAAATTACTGAGAAAAACACTAGGACCCTAGTGGCAACAGATTAATAGATAATGCTTTGGGCAGTCATTCCAATTGGGGGAAAAAAAGAGAGAAGAACTTTAGAAATAAAAGAAATGTAAGTTAAAAATAATAAGATATAAATTTCTAACTAAGTGGCAATATGGAAAATAAAATCTAACAATGGGGAATGTGAGGTAAATTGTTCACAACCATACAAAGGGAAAGCACAACTACTTAAGTACTATTAGCATTATAAAAATAGTAACATAAGTATGGTATTATTATTATTATTATTTTTGCGGTACTCGGGCCTCTCACTGCTGTGGCCTCTCCCGTTGCGGAGCACAGGCTCCGGACGCGCAGGCTCAGCGGCCATGGCTCACGAACCCAGCCGCTCCGCGTCATGTGGGATCTTCCCGGACCGGGGCACGAACCCATGTCCCCTGCATCAGCAGGCGGACTCTCAACCACTGCGCCACCAGGGAAGCCCCTTTTATGGTATTATTAAGTAACAAAATTATATCTGAAAAGCTAGCTTCACAATCATTTCAAATATGTAAAAATATACACACTAAGAAAGCAAAAGAGTAGTTGGAAATTCAGACCTAAAAGTAGCCTCAGAAAGGTCGGAGGTGAGTGGGAGGTTCTTCTCCGCTGCACCCCTAGTGATTAGTCTCCCTCACAAATTTCATTCTCAAAGAAACGCGCCTGCACACAGACGCCGGCACATTTATTTCAGGGGTTTCAGGAGTAAGGGGGTGTGTGCCCAGAGCAGACTGGGGCTCCTCTCACGCTCTCCCAAGCCTCTTACATTCCTCACCTCTCCTCCCCTCGCCTCCCCCAACCACAGACACCTGGAGGTCCCTTCCCGCATCTCTGACCACCCGCCCCAGTCAGCCCTTATCTCTGTCTCCCCTCCCCGAGACTCTCCCAGGGCGGCAGCGGAGGATGCCTGGAGCCCTCCCTCCTGCATCCCTCTCCCCATACCCACCTCCCTCCCGGTCCTCTCAGACCCCAGGCCCAACTCCCCCCACCATACACACACTCTCTCCCCTCTCACCAGCATACGTCGACAAAATCTCACTTTAGATTTCCCACAGAAGGCTCTCACGTGTACCCTCGTAACTTGTACTTGTCCACAATCCTACACACTCACCCTGGACTCAGTCCCTCTGTCTCTGTGTCTCTCTGTCTCTGTCACGGCCCCCCCACCTCCCCCCCGACCTCGCCGCCGCATGGTGCTGCTCTCCAAGAACTTGTAGTTAATCCTGCAGAAGGTGTGCACGGCGGCCCGCGCCCGCTGCAGGGCATCCTTCTGGCGGTTCCAGAGCTCCGCGGCCGGCCGCCCCAGCTCGCTCACCGCCAGGTCCTCCCCTACGTGGCTGTCGAAGCGCACCAGCTCCTCCCGGTTATAGATGGACCTGTCCAGGAAGTGCACCTGCCGCGTGCTGTTGGAGAAATGACACTCGGACTTTACCTGCACCATGAAAAGTGCTGTGGGGACAGGAATGATGTTGTCACCCGGGCGCATGGGAAGAGAATGGCGGTGACGCCCACCGATGACAGGCGCCCGGGCACAGGCCGGGGGCGCTAGTACTCCCTCGGAGGCTCTACCGGCACCCCACGGGTTCATCTTCCACCTGCCAGCGGTGGAGGAAGGACGTGGTGGGCGGAAGAGACCCCTCTGCTCCTGAGCCATTCGGGCTCCACTTGGCTTCCATGCTCGCCTGGACATCTCCAAGTGTGAACTGGACTGGGATTTGCCCCATCACCATCTCCTCTTAGGAGCCTCCTTCATTCTGTAAGTACTTGGTTAGGACTGTGCTTGTGTCCAAATTTCGCTGTCCCTTGGGACTCCAAGGAAGGGAACACAGCCGTCTCCCCTCTACTTGTGGAGCTTAAAATTTAGTGAAAGTGTTGGACAAAAGCCAAACACGCAAGAATTTATACAGAAGTGAGATAAGTCAGGATAAAAGTGTGGTGTTCTATAGCAGAGAATGATAGGATGACCTAAATTAGGTTAGGGTGCCAGAGAAGTGGTCTCTGAAGACCACTTTAAGTGGTAACATAAAAGGTTACGTGGATGTGAGCTAGAGGAAGTGTGTGTGTGTGTGTGTGTGTATGTGTTTAGGGGAAAAAGAGAGACACATTTTAGGTAATGGTAATACTGTGTGGAAAAGCTGAAAGAATTGATGAACTTCCTCTAGAAAGTTCACTGAAGCACAGAGAGTGAGAGGAAGGAGGGGAAAAGATTAGACTGGAAAAATCACATGGAACCAGGCACTTAAAATCCTTGTAGGTGACATTAGGATTTTGACTCTATGCTAAACGTAATGAGAACTACTGAAGAGTTTTAGGAGATTAAAACCATAACCCCAATACAGGTCCACAATTCCTTTTCTGCATTTCCAAATCTGGATAGCTCAGAAAATCAGATTTTCTAAAAATTTGCTGCTAAAATTCGTTTGGCAAATCTGACCTGCTGAGGGAAGGGGTCAAACGTGTCTCAGAGCTCTTATTGGTTACATATGGTTCCGTAGCTTCACTGTGTGTAAAGATACATATAGACATAAATATACACATATATATCATATGAATGCACATATTTTTGATTTTTTGGTATTAAATTACAGTATCATTAACATTATGTTAGTTCCAAGTGTACGACATAATGATTCAATATTGTTAAAAGTTATACTCCATTTAAAGTTATTACAAAATAATGGTTATATTTCCCTGTGTTGTACAGTATATCTTGTTGCTTATTTATTTTATTCACAGTAGTTTGTATCTCTTAATCCCATGCTTTTATCTTGCCCCTCTCCCCTTCCATTTCCACACTTGTAGCCCCTAGTTCACTCTTTGTGAGTCTGCTTCTGTTTTGTCATATACATTTGTTTTATTTTTTAGATTCCACTTATAAGTGATAACATAGAGTATTTGACTTTCTCTGTCTGACTTATTCCACTAACCATAATACTCTGTAGGTCCATCCACATTGTTGCAAATGGCAGAATTTCATTCTTTTTTATGGCTGAGTAATAGTCCACGGTGTGTGTGTGTGTGTGTGTGTGTGTGTGTATGTATATATATATATATATATATATATATATACACACACAAAACACATCTTTACCCATTCATTTGTTGATGGACACTTAGGTTGCTTCTGCATCTTGGATATTTGTAAATAATGCTGCAGTGAACATTGGGTTGCATGTATGTTTTCAAATGAATGTTTTTGTTTCTTTCAAAAACGAAAATATTTTTGTCTTTAGATTTAGTTGAATTGTGAAAATGTCAAAAAGAGTTAAAGAATAACCCTGTGGTTAAAGGTAAGAAGAATAAATGGAAGTTTCTGATATCATTAATAGTGTGGAAAGTAGCATTGCTGCAGAAATTTGAGGCATTTTACTGAAAAATATTGTAACAGCCACCACTATTTATGACTTAAAAAGACAAGTTGTTGAAATCAAATAGAGGTGTGATGACCAAGACCTCGTGACATTTTGAAAAACATGGCGTAAGGCAAAAAATAAAAATGAAGATCTTGAACTTGCTTTGATTGAATGGATTCAACAAGAAAGTAATGAATTTGTTCAACCGTCTAGTTTTGGGGGTAATGAAACAAGCTAAATAAAACCACGAAGAGGTGAACTGGAAGGTGGATGTGTGTGGAGAGTGTAAGTCTAGAATGTTTAGAAGCAGCATAGTGTATATAAGGCAGTGCTTTCAACCTCAGCGCTATAGACATTTCGGACCAGGTGGTTCTTTGTGGCTGGGGAGAGGGAGCTGTCCTGTGCATAGTAGCCTGTCTATCAGCTTTCCTGGCCTCTACCCACTAGTTGTCAAAAGAACCCCCCTGTGTGACAACTAAAAATGGCGCTATCTGGAGCCAATGTTCTGCGGCGGGTGAAGGAACGGGGAGAAAGAGTGCTGAGCTGTCGCTGGGTGAGAACCATGGGTGTAAATCATATGAAAAAACTGTCCTGGAGAAACCACTCTCAAGTACGGAGCAGCTGAGACTGACATAGAAAAATTTGCCAATATTATTTCTGTTGAAAATCTTGGTCCTACATGAAATATGTTTTTTGGGAAGCCGGTCCCAGTGAAGAGCTGTTTTTTCCAATAAAATAAATTTGTTCAGTCCAACCAAAGTTGACTGATTTCTTTGCCTTGGCAATTAGTCACTGTGATATGGTGATTTATGATAAGAAACATGTATTTGTTCTTCATCCCCGTTTCTGCCACAGGTCTCCTAAAACCCTGGAAATTTCCTAAGGGGTAAAATCAGTAAATGAGTCTTTTATATTAATTAGGTGACTTTTGGATCCAGTCTAAGGAGATGTACTGGTCCATAGTCCTCCCTATCTCAATAAACAGCACCACCATCCACCTAGTTATCATGCAAGACAAAATCCTGAGGGATAAGCTTTTGATTTTCTATCTTCCAACTCCCACCATTTAATTCATTAACAAGTCACTCAACAATCTATCCCAGATCTGTTCACTTCATCGCTACTACACTAAATGAAGTCACAGGCACATCTTCCCTGGAGAACCCTTCTACTCTCCCCTAACTGGTCTCTGTAACTTCACTTGGAACCCCTGCAATCCAATCTCCATGTGGTAGCTAGAATTAGTTTTTAAAATAAATATAAATGGACTCTCCTTGTAACCCCTTAGTAGCTTCACATAGCTCTGTAAATAAAAGTCAAATTTCTCACTATGGCCATCAGGGCCTAACATGATTTGACTCCTGACTTTCTCTCTAACCTCATCTTATTCCACTCCCCAACTTGCTTTCTCTGCTTCAGCTCCTCTAACCTTCTTTCCACCCCTTAAACACAGCAAACATCTTCCCACACTTTGACCTTTCCCCTGGTTCCTCTCCCTGGAGCATTTGTCCCTTAGATCCTTCCCATGTCTGGCTTATTCTCATCATTTATGTCTCAAATGAATGTCACAGGGAGAGCCCTGTAGACACTTGCAGTGAAGTCAGGTGAATACAATTTTCTCAGTCCCTTAACCCTTATATTTTTTTTCAGAGCATTTATTGCTGTTTGAAATGTTCTTCTTGGTTCAATGTTTATTGGGTTGTTGTCTTTCTCTCTTGTCATTAGGTAACTTCCATGATCATAAGGGACTTTTTTTCTGTTATTCAAATAGAATTCTCTGTGCCTAGGACAGAGCCCGGTATATAATAGTTGCTCAAAGAAGTATTTGTCATCTAAATGAATAAAGCCATAGTTTTGGGAATTGATCTTTGTGGGGCTCCTGGTAAAGCAAGAAGGGGCTCCAGTTCCAACACACTTTTGTAATCATGACACCTTATGTCTCTTCTACTTTCCTGTGAGAAATTCAGACTAACTTGCTCTTTCTCCTCTTACTACTTGGAAGAAACATTCACAGGTAAGGAAAAGGTGATTTTTAAGAGATAGGGAACATTTCATGAAGTTTCATTTCATCCAATGCGTCTGTTATAGTGCTGAGGGTTTGTGCAAACCGGGGATTTTTAGTAACGGTGATGACATAGTAGGGGAAAGAATAGGGAGAAACTGGAAGGAGAGGTAACCAAAGACGGCTAATTATGGAAAATAGATGGTATGATGAATGAACCTATGAAATTTGGGCCCAAGACTCCAAGAGGTCAATGAGTTCCCTTGATTTCCTTACTGGCTTTCAGCCCTATGGGATGGAAACAGCCTTCACACGCTCTGTATCCTGCTTAGGGTGTATGGTTTGAACCATATGAAATTGCTGATATTTGACTATTTGGAGTTTATAAAAATATAATTTCATAATTTATTCTATACTAGTTGAATCTCTTCTTGTGGGTTCAGGCCAGAGAAAGAGGAGATATAGAAGAAACTGATAGGATAGAAAGGTTCAAAATAGAATAAGCACTAATAAGCACTAACCTGTGTCAGGTTTTCAGTTCTTATGAGGTCTTTGAGGCATCACAGAATGCCCCTTAGATGCTCCTTAACTACAGGGTCATTCTCAGTACTAAGGATCCCTGCTTCAGGTCCAGAGTGCTTTACGCAGGAGAAATAGGGAGAAAACTAACCCCAGCTTTTGTCAGAGTACCTCCAGTACAGGCATACAGGCCTTATGAACAGTGGGGTTTAGGGAGAAAGAAAAGGAGACAATAGATAACCAACAAGGACTTACTGTACAGCACAGGGAACTCTACTCAATATTTTGTAATAACCTATAAGGGAAAAGAATCTGTAAAAGAATATATATATATATATATATATATATATATAATATATATATATATATATAACTGAAGTGCTGTGCTGTACACCTGAAACTAACTCGATATTGTAAATCAACTATACTTCAACTTAAAAAAAAGAAAAGAAAAGGACACAATGGTGAGGTCTCTTGATACATCCTCACGTATTAGTGAGAGGTAGCCGCATCACAGATCCCATGGACATAACACAGGATCTTCTAGGAGAGATCTTTCTAATTCCTTTTGAGTCCCCATAAAATTTTCAGAGGATTATTCCCACTTTCTGGCATAACTCAACAGAATAAAGGGAACCACGGATGGGAATTATTTTGAAATCATTAATAATCATTTTAGATTATTTTTGAAAGCATTTCTAAACCCTCTCAAAACCCCGAGGGAATGGGATATAAGGCTGGAGAGGTTTTATTAGAAGAGAGTTGACAAGAAATAGCCTATATGTATATATACGAAGGCACCTTATGCTGGTCTTATAAAGAGGGCAAGTATCCAGGCTCCTTTTGTTTGTGGAAGGAATTGAGGATCCATATGATAAAGGTAAGTAGTCACTGAAGAAGATGTCGGTGTTTTAAGTAACATGGCCTGGACCCAGACAAAGCTAACTCCCTCCCTTCCCCCACACCCCAAAATAGCTCACCATCCAAGGTGTGCACTTACCTCTCCAGCCCAAGCCAGGAGCGGGCTCAGCACCATCAGTATCGCTGTCAGTATTACTGTCCAGGAGCCTGCGGGGAACCAAAGGCACACCATGCAGAAGAAGAGAAGAAGGCAGGGTGCAGGGGAGCAGACAAATCTCAGTGAGGACTAGGACCCTCCTCCAACCCACATCTCAAATATTACCGACCAAGGAACTCATTTCTTTGTTCCTGGATTGGGTCGTCTCAGTTTCGGAGAACCAATCAGATTCATCTGTGAATATCATCATCAGTTGCTGGTTAGATACTCAATATGAAGTTCCTCTTTTGAAACTCAGATTTCCTTCCTTAGGAGGATTGTTTTAATTTCGTGCTTTAAAGGTTTGATCCAGTTGTATTTGTAACATTTTAACTGGGGCCCTATTGTGAGCCAGCTCTGTGCTGGTCAGCGATGGTCACCCAAATTTTTCAGGATTGTCTCCAGATACTGTCACTGAGTTTAGTGGGACCTCCAGGATACACATAGAGAAAGCGGCTTATCGGGGGCAATCCTTGTGGAATGGAGGGTCTTGAAGGTACCTTTGTAGAGCTTGTAAATAACAATGTAATAGGGTCAATGTCCAAATCACATTCTACAAGACCCTCCATGTGGAATGGAGGTTCTTGAAGGTACATTTGTAGGGCATGTAACTAACAATGTAATAGGGTCAATGTCCAAATCACATTCTACAGGGGGCTGAGAGATTGATAAAGGACTCAAATCAGCCTTTGGCACAGCAACTCTGCTTTAGAATAATTAATATTTTATGTGAAAAAGTGATCAATCCATTCCTCCTAGTTCCCTTTTTGACTTCCTCATTTAATTGGGGATATTTCCCTTTCTTTCTCTTTTAAAAAAATTTTAATTTTATTTCATTTATTTTTTATACAGCAGGTTCTTACTAGTTATCTATTTTATACATATTAGTGTATATATGTCAACCCCAATCTCCCAATTCATCCCACCATCACCACCCCCCACCATCAGTTTCCCCCCTTGGTGTTCATACGTTTGTTCTCTACATATGTGACTCTATTTTAGCCCTGCAAACCTGCTCATCTGTACCATTTTTCTAGGTTCCACATATATGCGTTAATATACGATATTTGTTTTTCTCTTTCTGACTTACTTCACTCTGTGTGACAGTCTCTAGATCCATCCACGTCTCTACAAATGACCCAATTTCGTTCCCTTTTATGGCTGAGTAATATTCCATTGTATATATGTACCACATCTTCTTTATCCATTTGTCTGTCGATGGGCATTTAGGTTGCTTCCATGACCTAGCTCTTGTAAACAGTGCTGCAACGAATATTGGGGTGCATGTTTCTTTTTGAATTATGGTTTCCTCTGGGTATACACCCAGTAATGGGATTGCTGGGTCATATGGTAATTCTATTTTTAGTTTTTTAAGGAACCTCCATACTGTTCTCCATAGTGGCTGTATCAATTTACATTCCCACCAACAGTGCAAGAGGGATCCCTTTTCTCCACACCCTCTCCAGCATTTGTTGTTTGTAGATTTTCTGATGATGCCCATTCTAACTGGTGTGAGGTGATACCTCATTGTAGTTTTGATTTGCATTTCTCTAATGATTAGTGATGTCAAGCAGCTTTTCATGTGCTTCTTGGCCATCTGTATGTCTTCTTTGGAGAAATGTCTATTTATGTCTTCTGTCCAGTTTTTGATTGGGTTGTTTGTTTTCTTAATATTGAGCTGCATGAGCTGTTTATATATTTTGGAGATTAATCCTTTGTCCGTTAATTCATTTGCAAATATATTCTCCCATTTTGAGGGTTGTCTTTTCGTCTTGACTGTAGTTTCCTTTGCTTTGCAAAAGTTTCATTAGGTCCCACTTGTTTATTTTGTTTTTATTTCCATTACTCTAGGAAGTGGATCAAAAAATATCTTGCTGTGATTTATGTCAAAGAGTGTTCTTCCTATGTTTTCCTCTAAGAGTTTTATAGTGTCTGGTCTTACCTTTAGGTCTCTAATCCAGTTTGAGCTTATTTTTGTGTATGGTGTTAGGGAGTGTTCTGATTTCATTCTTTTACATGTAACTGTCCAGTTTTCCCAACACCACTTATTGAAGAGATTGTCTTTTCTGCACTGTATATCCTTGCCTCCTTTGTCATAGCTTAGTTGACCATAGGTGCGTGGGTTTATCTCTGGGCTTTCTATCCTGTACCAGTGATCTATATTTCTGGTTTTGTGCCAGTACCATATTGTCTTGATTACTGTAGCTTTGTAGTATAGTCTGAAGTCAGGGAGTCTGATTCCTCCAGCTCTGTTTTTTTTTCCCTCAATATTGCTTTGGCTATTCAGGGTCTTTTGTGTCTTCATACAAATTTTAAGATTTTTTGTTCTAGTTCTGTAAAAAGTGCCATTGGTAATTTGACAGGGATTGCATTGAATCTGTAGATTGCTTTGGGTAGTATAGTCATTTTCACAATACTGATTCTTCCAGTCCAAGAACATGGTGTATCTCTCTCCATCTGTTTGTGCCATGTTTGATTTCTTTCATCAGTGTCTTATTGTTTTCTGAGTACATGTCTTTTACTCTTTTGGTAGGTTTATTCCTAGGTATTTGATTCTTTTTGTTGCAGTGGTGAATGGGATTGTTTCCTTAATTTCTCTTTGTGATCTTTCGTTGTTAGTGTATAGGAATGCAAGAGATCTCTGTGCATTAATTTTGTATCCTGCAACTTTACCAAATTCATTGATTAGCTCTAGTAGTTTTCTGGTGGCATTTTTAGGATTCCCTATGTATAGTATCATGTCGTCTGCAAACAGTGACAGTTTCACTTCTTCTTTTCCAATTTGTATTCCTTTTACTTCTTTCTCTTCTCTGATTGCCGTGGCTAGGACTTCCAAAATTATGTTGAATAATAGTGGTGAGAGTGGACATCCTTGTCTTGTTCTTAATCTTAGAGGAAATGCATTCAGTTTCTCACCATTGAGAATGATGTTGGCTGTGGGTTTGTCATATATGGCCTTTATTATGTTGAGGTAGGTTCCCTCTATGCCCACTTTCTGGAGGGTTTTTATCATAAATGGGTGTTGAATTTTGTCAAAATCTTTTTCTGCATCTATTGAGATGATCATGTGGTTTTTATTCTTCAATTTGTTAATATGGTGTATCACATTGATTGATTTGCATATACTGGAGAATCCTTGCATCCCTTGGATAAACCCCACTTGATCATGGTGTATGATCCCTTTAATGTGTTGTTGGATTCTGTTTGCTACTAGTTTGTTGAGGATTTTTGCATGTATATTCATGAGTGATATTGGTCTGTAATTTTCTTTTTTTTGTAGTATCTTTGTCTGGTTTAGGTATCAGGGTGATGGTGGCCTCATAGAATGAGTTTGGGAGTGTTTCTTCCTCTGCAATTTTTTGGAAGAGTTTGAGAAGGATGGGTGTTAGCTCTTCTCTAAATATCTGATAGAATTCACCTGTGAAGCCATCTGGTCCTGGACTTTTGTTTGTTGGAAGATTTTTAATCACAGTTTCAATTTCATTACTTGTGATTGGTCTGTTCATATTTTCTTTCTTTTTTTTAAACATCTTTATTGGGGTATAATTGCTTTACAATGGTGTGTTAGCTTCTGCTTTATAACAAAGTGAATCAGTTATACGTATACATATGTTCCTGTATCTCTTCCCTCTTGTGTCTCCCTCCCTCCCACCCTCCCTATTGTTCATATTTTCTATTTCTTCCTGGTTCAGTCTTGGAAGGTTATACCTTTTTAAGAATTTGTCCATTTCTTCCAGGTTGTCCATTTTACTGGCATAGAGTTGCTTGTAGTAGTCTCTTAGGATGCTTTGTATTTCTGCCGTGTCTGTTGTAACTTCTCCTTTTTCATTTCTAATTTTATTGATTTGAGTCCTCTCCCTCTTTTTCTTCATGAGTCTGGCTAATGGTTTATCAATTTTATCTTCTCAAACAATCAGCTTTTAGTTTTATTGACATGCTATTGTTTTCTTTGTTTCTATTTCATTTATTTCTGCTCTGATCTTTTTTATTTCTTTCCTTCTGCTAACTTTGGGTTTTGTTTGTTCTTCTTCGTCTAGTTCCTTTAGGTGTAAGGTTACATTGTTTATTTGAGATTTTTCTTGTTTCTTGAGGTAGGCTTGTATAGCTATAAACTTCCCTCTTAGAACTGATTTAGCTGCATCCCATAGGTTTTGGATCGTCGTGTTTTCATTGTCATTTGTCTCTAGGTATTTTTTGATTTCCTCTTTGATTTCTTCAGTGATCTCTTGGCTATTTAGTAACGTATTGTTTAGCCTCCATGTGTTTGTGTTTTTTACTTTTTTTCCCCTGTGATTCATTTCTAATCTCATAGCATTGTGGTCGGAGAAGATGCTTGATATGATTTCAATTTTCTTAAATTTACCGAGGCTTGATTTGTGACCCAAGATGTGATCTATCCTGGAGAATGTTCCGTGCGCACTTGAGAAGAAAGTGTAATCTGCTGTTTTTGGATGGAATGTCCTATAAATATCAATTAAATCTATCTGGTCTATTGTGTCATTTAAAGCTTCTGTTTCCTTATTTATTTTCATTTTGGATGATCTGTCCATTGGTGTAACTGAGGTGTAAGCCCCCCAGTATTATTGTGTTACTGTCGATTTCCTCTTTTATAGCTGTTAGCCATTGCCTTATGTATTGAGGTGCTCCTATGTTGGGTGCATATATATTTGTAATTGTTATATCTTCTCGGATTGATCCCTTGATCATTATGTAGTGTCCTTCCTTGTCTCTTGTAACATTCTTTATTTTAAAGTCTATTTTATCTGATATGAGTATTGCTACTCCAGCTTTCTTTTGATTTCCATTTGCATGGAATATCTTTTTCCATTCCCTCACTTTCAGTCTGTATGTGTCCCTAGGTCTGAACTGGGTCTCTTGTAGACAGCATATATATGGGGCTCGTTTTTGTATCCATTCAGCCAGCCTGTGTCTTTTGGTTGGAGCATTTAATCCATTCACATTTAAGGTAATTATCGATACGTATGTTCCTATAACCATTTTGTTAATTGTTTTGGGTTTGTTTTCGTTGGTCCTTTTCTTCTCTTGTGTTTCCCACTTAG